TTCGCAAAATAAAGAATAGAAGTGAATAATAGCCAAATCCATTACTTCAACCTCTTCTTATCCTTTACATCTGAAAGTTGGATAAAATAAAAGAAGTCAAACACTTCTAAATTACTTATAAGTCCCTCTACTGTGACAACTAATTATATTGTGGTATAGATTTCTCAATTAAAGCTAATCCTTTTCAAAATCTTCGACTGATTAAAATTATTGGAAATAAAGAGTGCGCTTAATTAGCAGAGGATTGGTAAGTTGTTATAACAAAAAGTATGAAAACTAAGATATCATAATAGTTAAATGAACTAAAAAAATAGTTTCCCCTTTCTGAATACCTCAAGTTCTGAAATCAAATCTTCCTCGGCGCTTGTTTCCACTTTCGCATAATAATTTTGTGTTCCAGCTCTTCAATGATTCTTACAAGCCATTTCAGATTTCCAGTTGAAATCATGAAATATACTATGGATAATCCGATACATAGTCCACTTCCATAACCCATAAGAGCACCTTTAAAAAATTCAATGAGAAATTGAGAATTGCTTTCTTGATCATCTAGCACTGATAAAACATAATTTCTCTCTGACACTCGATCTTTGCCACAACCTTTCCAAAGTGGGAATCCACGTAACCCATTATTACCTTCATATGAGATTTTCTCAAAGGTATCAAATTGATTTCCTTGAGGAATGCATCCTATGAGATAATTGTGGGAGAGATTTAAGAATGCAAGAGATGTAAGAGAAACAAGTTGTTTTGGTATATCTCCTGAAAGCTTGTTAAATGAGAGGTTCAATGATTCGACTACAGATAAATTTCCAAGTGACGATGGTATATGACCTTGCATTCCATTATGAGATAAATTTAACACGCGAAGTGCAACGAGATCTCCCATAATACTTGGAATATGCCCTTCAAATCTGTTAATTGAAAGATCAATAGTAGTGTAAACTGTACAGTGTAAACTGTTAAAATTCTAACAAGTTCAAGCTCTCGTCCCTTGGTTACAATTGTTACAGAATCTTGGTAATACCTATCTCCAAGATATATTGGTTCCTTCAATGTTTGATCAATTGTCCTCATGGCTTTCAATTGTTGAAACAGACTCGTTGGTAAGTTTCCCGTGAAGGCATTGTAAGAGAGATCTATGATTCGAAGCTCAGGAAAGTTTTCAATCCTTGAAGTTCTAATGGCCCCATGCAATTTATTTGATCTCAAGCTTAAAACTTTCAGGTTTGGAAGAGTTCCCAACCACATCGGAAATGTGTCATTCAGGTAATTATCTCCTAAATCAAGAACTTGCAACTGTTTGCAATTAGCCAAAGATCCGGGAATTCTCCCCTCCAGTTCATTGCCACGCAAGTTGAAGCTTTTGAGTACACTTCCAATGCTAAAAGTTGTTGGAAGAGTCCCGAAAAGATTGTTGTGGTGCATATCCAAAATGTGCAGGCCGCTGATATTGCCCAAGCATTGCGGAATTGCTCCCCTCAAATAGTTTCTTGCTAAAACTAGAGTTTGCAGTGATGTTAAATTGCAAATAGACAAAGGGATGACACCGGTAATTTTGTTTCCATCCATTCTTAGTACTGTGAGATTTTCACATTTCCACAAGTCAGGTGAAAGTTCACCTGAAAAGTGGTTGTCACTAAGAGAAAGGAAAAGAAGATTCGGGTGCACTCCAAATGCCTCTGCAAGATTACCCCATAATTTGTTGTCATTAAGCCTAATTCTGTTTAGCTCTGTGCAATTCTTCAGGCAATCTGGTAATTTCCCACTGAATTTGTTCTCATTTATTGTCAAATCCTCAAGAGCAAAATGGCTACATAATCCAGGAGGTAGTTCACCAGTGAAGCTGTTACTTGAAAAGCTGACAGTGGACAATTGAGGACTGTTCTTTCCAAAGTCCTTTGGGACACTGCCTGAGATGTTATTGTTATGTACAAAAAAAGTATCAGACTACTGAGGTCAGAAATGCTGTCCGGCAGCTCACCACTAAGCCGGTTGTTGTTAATGTCGAGGGTTTGAAGAGATGTCAAGTTGCCAATCTCAGGAGGAATGATTCCACTGAGATTGTTCCGGAAAAGATGCAACGTTATTAGATTGTTCAGGTTTCCAATGGTTGGAGGTATTGTGCCTGAAAGCTGGTTGTCAGAGACATCTAGCTCCAACAAGTTTTGCAAGTTTCCAATCAGATAGGGAATGGAACCAGTGAAATTGTTATGAAAGAGGTAAAGAAATTTGAGGCTTTTCAACTGACTGATTTCAGGTGGAATTTTCCCTGTAAAGAAATTATTTTGAAGCTGCAAAGATATCAATTCAGTCCAATTGGTGATGAGATACGATGAGATTTCACCAGAAAGAATATTATCGCTCAAGCTCAATTCAGATAACTTGGTCAGAGAAGACAAGGATGTAGGCAATGGTCCTTCCAATGCATTCTCTGACAAACCCAAGACGGTGAGTTTAGTATACATGACGCCAAGCTCAAAAGGAATAGTTGAGTTCAAATGGTTCATGTGGAGATCAAGGTGTTGGAGATTTCTGAGTCTGCCTATAGAAGATGGAATCTTTCCTTGAAATGAATTGTTGAAAAGTACAAAAACTTCAAGACTGGTGATCGAACCAATTTCATCAGGAATTATGCCAGAAAACATGTTGCTGCCAAGCTGAAGTTCTATTAACTTGGACAACTTGGAAAATTTTGGTGACAATGAACCTTGAAAAGAATTATATGAGAGATTGAGGTACTCAAGCTTGTCCAAGTTGGTGAATACTGTTTCTGGGATTGAACCGTTCAAATGGTTTAGTGATAAATCGAGGTAAATCAGATTATGGCAACGGAGTACAAATTCAGGGAATTCTTATCTTAGTTCATTGTAACCAAAGTTCAGATATGTCAACATAGGCATTTTCTGCATTTTAGACCAATCAGGATTTTCTAAGTAATTTAATCCAAGATCCAAGTGCCATACCTTCTGAAGATTGCTAATTTAATAGGGAATAACACCAACGATATTGTTGTTATAAAAACTAAGATGTTCAAGTTGTGTTAACTTTCCAATCTCTTTTGGTATGACACCCACAAAGAAATTGTTGCTCAGGTCCAAGAAATTGAGCATAGAGACATTGCCAATATTCGATGGTATCGATCCACTGAAGTTGTTGCTATTGAGATTAAAACTCGTGAGACTCGGAAACAAAGTGAAGTCAAGCTGATCAAGAGAGCCTGAGAGGCCTGCACCAGAAAGATTAATCTTGGAAATTGTTCCGCCAGGAATGCAGACAATAGATGTTCAACTGCAGAAGTTTCCGAGATTGGAAATGGACCATGGATCCAAGAAAGAAGTAGTAGAAGATAAGTTAATCTTCCATTTGACAAGAGCTTCAGCTTCAGTTCTTGCTGATGATGTGATTCTTAATGAAACTGAAAAAACAATTATCAAATATAGAAGGAAGGTACTATGAGAAGTTGTCATGTTTAATACTTGGTTTCAGGGATAATACAACATTTTTGAGTATAAATGCTTTTCTTTGAATTTTCTTACAGAGTCTTGCCGTTGAAATTTTGACTTAATACACAAATCCCTTTCACTTTGAATTTTCATTGTGAAGTATAGAGGAAAAGTCAAGCAACTACAACTGCCTTCTTACCAAATTAGTAATAATCAATTCAAAAGTTTAGAAAATGTTGTTATTCTCAAGTCAATGCACAAGTTCAATTTGGCTCTATTTGTCTAAGAAGGTATAGTTTTTGTTTTTATTTTTTCTTGTCCAAACACATCTGATACTCCTCGTCCTCAAACTAGCTTGTTTTCAAACTTCAAATTGTCCATGTCAAATTAATACTTACTTGACACTCTTTGCCGGAGTGAAATGAGTTTAAATGAAGCAATATAATTTATAAAGATTTATATAATTGATTCCAACTTATTCAGGATTAAGACAAAATTATTATTATGATATGCTCTCTAAATAAGCAAGTATATTACAAACTTTGCTAACACAAAGGTAAACACAAATGGGATGTTGATGACGTCCAAATCCACTACTAAAAAGTAAATGGACACGGTCACATGCAATATAATTTACCTAACTATGAGTCGAGGTCGAATCCCACAGAGAATAATATATACACGATTAGGAATGTAAGAGAATTACACTTGTTATGCAATGCCAAACACTTAGAAATGTTTCGAGAAAAATATTTATATCTAATTGTGAAAATGTAAACTAACCTAGAAAGCAAGTAAAAGATCAATGCCCACAAGTATGGATACACTCGGTAATACACTCAAGTAACGATCCAATGTATTTCACGATTTTATAAATATGGGCGAGTTTAAGTTAATTAGCCTCGGGTAATAATTCTATATTAGCTTCTTTCAAAGACTAACAAGACTTCCTAATTGAATTATCTTTAATATAATTAAGAGATTAAGCACACCCGATTATGACTACAAGTAGTTCAATCCTATCCCTAGGTAGAATCTATAAAATGAGGGTTAAAACCTCAAGTTCTTGTTAATTAATCTTTCCCAACCCCAAATAATCTTTCCCAAAATTAATTCGAAGTTAATGGGCGAGTCCTGTGGTTAGCTAATCCCTTTGGAAACATTAAAGAACAAGAATAATTAAAGAAACAATAACTGTCACGACCCAAACCGAAGGGCCACGACGGGCGCCCGGTGCCTTACTCAACTGAGTACCAACATAATATATCTTTCTTATTATACTATGTTGAGTAAATGAGACAGAAATCTGTCATGAGATAAGAAGAATAAAACATAAGGGAATACTCAACATATGACGACCCAACAATGATATACAAACTTACACATGTGACATACGGGCCTATAAGGCCGACATGACCATTTGTAAACTCAACACATAGGCCAACAAGGCCATACAAGTATCCATAAACCTGACATCTGTCTACAAGCCTCTAAGAGTACATAAAATCATAAAGGTCAGGATAGGGCCCCGCCGTACCAATCAATACATATCCAAAGCATAGTAATAAAATAGGCAACTCCGAAGCAAGTGGAGTGCACCAACACCTCCGCTGAGCTGATAGCCTATTCGGAGGAATGTCAGCCTATCAATTGGGACCTGCGGGCATGAAACGTAGCATATCCAGGCAAAAGGGACGTCAACACAAATAAAGTACCGAGTATGTAAGGCAAGAAAGCATAAACAAGAACAGTAATATAAAGAGAGATAAAGGAGATACAACCTGTAACATCTGCGTGCCTCTGGGGGCTACTGACATGAAATGCATAATACACATATATACATAAAATTTTAAAAACATACGCCTCTGTAGGCATCATCATCATCATCATATCGTACCCGACCTCAAAGAGGACTCGGTAAAAACGTACCTGACCATCATAAGGCTCGGTAGAATCGTACCCGGCCACGTGGAGCTCGGTAAATCCAACTGATCAGTGGTTGCACAATAGGTATCGTACCCGGCCTACTATAGCACGACTCGGTAGAGTAAAATAGATACTATATATAATGCATGCTAGACTCATGTAATCACGTTCTAAACCTTTTGGAGTGACTTAAGGTCATTGCACCTTCGATTAACATTATGGACATCATACCATCAATATGATATTCTATAGGATTCAAGGATCATACATACTTGCTTAAAATAACTTTATAAGGAAAGAACAACATGGACAACCTTAGTTTCTAGGAGTAGATCTGTTACGAAATAGCATATTCATTTCACTTTAGATCATGCCAAAAGAAACAAGGAAGTGCCTTAACATACCTTAACCATGGTGAGTCCTTAATACCTCCCAAGCTACTCTTCAAACAACTCAACTCAATCTACCATTGCATAAGGAGATTCAAAATCAGTGTTGAATAAAGGCTAAGTCTGCAACTTAAACTTGTAGCTCGTTTATATAAATTCGGGCAGCATCTCCCCTGTAACAAGAGCCTCCTCCAATATCATATACCAACAACAATTACCAGAGAAATCCAGCAATACATAATTATCAATAACAAGACACCATAAAACAACAACAAGTCATAACTATTTTACGACGAGCGACAAGCTTCAATTGGAATTTGTATACCCCATATCATCCCTTATAGACTTTTTACTTTAACTTAATAGTATCATAAACATGATAATGAAGTCATTCATCAATAATTCCAGCCTTATACCATATATCTATAGCAAAGAAAATGATCCACAACTCCAATTATTCTTAATTAGCAACTTTATACACTAGTTCATGTCTAGTTCATCCATTTAACTTAACCAATGCCAAGATAACCTTAAGCGCCTGTAGGAACACAATATAATTACCTCCTACAGTGGATGCAAGTCGAAATCAATGTTATATTTAGATTACAAAAGCCCAACACACCCCAATCAATTCATACCAAAAACGACGACTATAGTAGTGTCCAACGCCCCAAAAATATTACAAAGAATGACTAATACATCATTTAGCCATTAGGTGGCATTTTTCTACATAATTTATCTTCCAAAAACTCCATTAAATAGCAGCAAAATATACAGCCCAAAAGCTACACGAAACAACCCACAAAATAGTCCATTACAAATCAAATAACTCGAACTCACGGCTTCTGATCACCGTCCCGTGAGTTCTAACTATTATGAAATAAATTAATCAATCTTCCTTGATGTTTAAGAGCTCGAAACCAAAAATTACGAATTTTTATTAACTTCAAAATACCTTCCAAAATTCAAACTACAAAGAAAAAGAGAGGCTATATAGCGATACTTACGTCGTGGGGATCGTTCTTGTGTTATTGCTTCGTGATTTCGTGTCTCGGACGATAATCTTATTGGATAACCTTGTGGACAGATTAAGGGTGAGGTTAGGGGTCTTATTTGATCAAGCTCTCTGGAATTATGAAGAAAGAGACGACATAAGAAGATAGATATTCATTTTGGTTGAAAAGTCAAAGGTGCTACTTGGCACCATCTCATTGACCCCTTTTCAAATACTTATATCTTTTTATCCGGATGTTGTATGAACAAATGGTTAAGAGCGTTGGAAACTAAATTCAAAGACCTTCAATTTGGTATATAATATGTCCTAAAAAGACCTCATATGGCACACTAAATGTATTACTCAAAAAGCTCCACTACAAGGCAAATTCTTAGTCGGGTTTTTCGCAACTTAAATCCGATTTTTCTCAAACTTTATACTTCATATACACACATCATATATAGTCATATCATGGCTTTAAACTCATTTTAATCATGATTAACAAGTCTCATATTCATCTTAACTTGCTTAATACTTCGGCAAACCTTTCTTATCCTTGTAGAAGGATTTCATCCTTTTTGAGCTTACATCAATTGACTCACGATGCACTTTCAGGTACAAAAACATGGGTTGTAACATTATTACCCCCTTTGGAACATTCGTCCTCGAATGTTGACTGATGCGCTTCTCATTCTCATACCATATGGCTCTTATGAATACTTTAATATTGTCCTTTGTCATCTAGGCAATTGTTCTGTGAATAAATTTAAAAACTAGGCCATTCCTCCCTTTAGGCCTATTCTTACCTCGCAAATTATGGCCGGAGTTCTTCCAATCTCGTAACTTCGACTACCTTCTATGATGTATCCTATATGACTATGTCCTTTTATGCACGACTCTTCTCTCCTTTTTCCTCCAGCTTTTTGCCAATCTCTTGGCTTCACTTTGTGAATACATAAATAGAACTATGACAAGATGTCCCTCTGGGCATATATAGGTATACTTAAGCTCTTCGCTTGGTAATTTGCTGAATGTAAGACTATTGCTATATTTCATTTTATAGCCTTGGTATTATTACCGAGGTGTGCTACACAACTCTAGGTTACTTTCTCTTTGCTTGTATCATAACCTGCCGGCACAACCCTGCCACATTAGGAACATATAATCGACCTTAATATATGAGGACTCCATCTCACCCTGCCACATTAGGAACATATGATCGACCTCGATATCTGAGGACTCCATCTCCTGTAATCTCAAATAGTGTCTTCTCCTTTTGAGGGGTTGTATCTCTATAATGATCTAGCACATGATCTTCATACTGACATTTCTTCACTTCAGTTACTAAAGAGGAGGTTTCCATGTCCTAAGTAGTAACTCTGGTACCACCTGCATCTAGTAATCAAATTCCAAGATTAGCTAGCAGATGAATCTCATAAGCTATCTCACTCTTTTATGCCTGTAAATATGATAGGCCAAACATAGATCTATGATTGAGGGCATTGACTACTACATTTTCCTTCCTTGGATGATATAAAATATAAATATCATAGTTTTTCACTAACTCCAACCATCGCCTCAGATGTAATACATTGTCACTAAGGCTCGCGTCTCATCGGGGAACATCTGAAGTGATTTTATTGATGCACCTAGGGATGATACTATAATTAAATTACTACATTTTCATAACATCCCAACGTATTCATCTTACGGGGGCATTCTAATACCGTGCCATCCATGAAATCCCTTTTCTTTAAATCATTACTCAATCGAAGGCCCAAACGTCATTCTCTTAACTATCACAATTACACCCTTATTCTACTACCAGGGCAGTATTCCATCTCTTCTAATTGCTCCTGTTCTTAGACTCCTCTGAGTTCATTCAGAGTGTACCTAGTTTTCTATACCTCATGGAAAGCATCAGCCCTCTTATTTTGACGGGTTTAATCCTGAGACCTTGCCTATTATTGTCACCTTCTCACTCACATTTACCATACTTACTTTTAAATCTCACACCGTATCTTCTATCGATTTCATAACCTCCCTTCTACATTGGTGGAATTCACATCCATACGTTAAAGCTCTACTATAATACTTGCAACCATGGTGCATACACAATCTGGTGGGAGCTTTGTATTAACGTCTTATGAGGCTGGTACTCTTCTAATTGCTTTATCGTAGAGCTTTTATAGAATATGATTGTTGTACTATCTCTTTTATACCTATGCTATTAAAAGTGTTCATGCTATGGTTTGAGTCACGATTTCTATAATCATCTGGGTCTAACAATTGGACTCATGATGTAACTTTCGAGCTTCCTCTTCCTTCTCAGCCTTTAATTAAGCTTAGGCTATCTTCCAATCTTTATCTTAGGGTATTAGCTATTACATTAGCCTTTCATGGACTCTATGTAGCATCCATGATATAATCTTCTAACAATTCAAGCCTTTATAGGTGGCGTGGACTTAATTCTTTCTTTTAACTTATACTAGAGTCTCCTATAGCTATATGAATGTCAACATATATGCTGCATGGATATAACTTTGAAGTCTTAAGTGCATTCACAACATAATTAACTTTGGATCATTGATTGTATAATTCCTTTCGTGCCTTCTTAGCGTTCTTTAAATGTAAGCAATCACTTTTCCTGGTCGTTTTGCCACTTGTTGCATGAATACTTGGCTTATCTTATTGCCTATCAATACTTGAATTTCCTATAACTCATATGATCTCAAATATCACTTTTGACTTCCCGTTCATTAGTCACGATAGGTGCCACTTTCTTATGGAGTGTATACTATATTGTAGTGAGACTGTTGTTACAAGACCATTTCTTCGTTATATCGTTATGCTTAAGTTGAAACCTTCTTCCTTATTTCCTCAGCTAGTCTTTCTTTGTAGTACTTAAGGAGACCTTTTGGATCTTGTAAAGTTACGATCTTGTTATACTGTATACCCGAAGGAATTTTTGATGTTCTTACTCGCCTACAAACATCCTTAGTTACATACCTTCGTCCCCTTGTGCTCGTAGGGTTACTTCTAAACTCAGATTTTGATTGTTTCCTTAGTGGCACTCTCCATTATTTCCGTAATACTTATACGGTACCTTTAGTAACCCAACTCCTATCTAAATATTTCTCAAGGTTACGACATCATATTTGCGAGGNACTGAATTTACTAAATTAGGATTCACTAAGTTTATCTTGCATGATCTGCTGATTTGCTTATAACCTCTTGTATAGCCATAACTTGGCTCTTCTTGAATCAACTACAAACTACTCGTTGGTCAATTCCCATATCTATATTCCGCGTAATCTCTCTTTAGTTATTTACTTTGTCTTAAGTTACCTCTCGTATTGGCTCCTTATGTATCAAGTGTTTATTTGCACTTATTTATCAATATCATCGGGTGCACAACCCTTACCACTTCTCTCCGGCATCATGCTTGCATAATGTTCTGGAATCATATCATATCAATAGGATCTGAATAGATGCTATCTCATTCCTTTCACCCTTTTACTACATTCCTCCTTTACTATTCCATAGTTACCTCTTCATCTTGCCATTTTTTTCATATCTTCACTAACATCTTACTCGCCTTGCGGTAACCTCTCTATACCGGGGATAATTGAATTTATTACGCACAAGGGAGACACTTAATGTAACTGGCACACTTAGTCCCTTAAGCTTAACTTTGCTCCACATGCTTGCTTTAGGGAAGCATCTCCTTAAATGAACCTTAAAGGTTATTCTTTTGGTGTCCATTCTACTATTGTCGGAATGTTATCTCTGAAATTCACATGATATCAACTATTATAAAATCCTTCAGTCCCTAATTCATGTTCAGTTTATCTTGTTCACCAGCCCATACTAATTTCTACTACTCTGGGGTCTAACCTTTCCTCCTGGTAATCACGTTGAAGTCACCAACTCATTCTCGAAATAAGGATATGACTTTATGGCCTATACTCATTTATTGCCTCAAGGCCTGTTACCTCTTGTATTTTCCTTCACTTGATTATAGACTCTATCATCGTGTCATATTTTGATTTATTGTTATCACCCATATATCATATCTTACTCATGATGCTTCATTTACTCTCTTCTCTTCTTATTCTCCGAATAATATTTTTGTCTATCACTTTATTCTGAAACTTGAACAAAATGTTCTTTCACTTTTAGCTCCCCTTGCTTTATCTCACTGGATCTTTGGAATGCCTAACATTCTTTCCTTTTTTTTACTCAGGGCTGGAGTCATACTAAGGGAAATATTTTTCCCTTCTAGGATCCCACTACCTATCTTCTGAAATTTCTGAATATTTCAGTATTCATATCTGATTGTACTATTCTAAAGTTCACCATCTAGGTGTCTCACAAGGAGATCTATTACCATATTTGCACTATCTTTCGGATACATTAGTTAATGATAATAATCCATCCATAATTTTTGGTTACTCTAACCCAAATTGAATCTTGATGTCACCTTTTTCTTTTAAACTATATTTGTTAGCTCCCATAGAGCACAACTGAGATGAGTGTGGTCAATTGTATATATCACCATTAATATTGAAGGTAACACCAATACTTACATTTCTCTTCCTGAATTGTAAATACTGATAATCTTCATTAACTAGGTACCTTGTACCCTTTGTCATCTTGCTTGTTTTACTTGCTGAAACTTGTGTCTACTTTTTGATTCACTTATTCCTTTTTACTATACGAGTGGATAGATATTCTTGCCTTAGGGATCCTTATCAAGAAGCTTACACATCTTAGAACACACATGATCTGCTGAAGACCCCACATTTGTTCATCATAAGCATGATGCAATATCGAGTTCCTCTGACTCAACTCTTCCACAACCACATTCAATCTCATACCAACTATTTATTTGGATGAGGTATCGTTGTATTACGAACACAATAGAATTTAGAAGTTTGAATTCTTAAGATTGAGCTTTACAACACGATCTAGAGTAAGAAGAAAGAGTGACAGTCCTAAATGCCCTGTAGCCTCCTGCTTATAAGTGTGGTGCACAACACACCCATAAACAAGACTCTACTAGACACGGTTTATAGACTTCCTAGGACAGAATTGCTCTGATACCACTTCAGTCACG